ATAATGGTCTAATGTTATCATGTTTTCATTTACAAATCAACTATCGTGGAATTGACGACCCTCTGTTAGTATCATTGACATGGGTTCCTTCTTCCTATGCAAAAGTTTGGCATTCATATGTCATAAATGGTTACACCTATCACACAGTCGATTATGGACAAGACAGACCAACAATGAACATTGGGTTATGTGTCCCAACCATCGGTTTAGATAACTCGGAAACCAATTTTTATGGTTTCTTGCATGAGATTCTTGAACTTCAATTGCCTTCTGGTGGGCAAGAATTGAAATGCGTTTTGTTCCGCTGCACATGAGTCGATCCTACACGTGGTGTGAGAAAAAATTCAAAGTATAATATAATTGACGTCAACCACTCTCGCGTATATCGAAAAAATGAGCCTTTTATACTCGCTCAACAAGCAGCTCAGGTTTATTATGCAGAGTATCCTTCCACCAGACGCACACCGAGTCGTTGGGTGTGTGCATGTACTGTCCGTTTGAGCAAAATTGGATCACAGACTCAACACAAGGATGCTGATTTTGATTGTTTTCACAAAGAGTTTTTCCAACCTCCGCCTACTGCTGAGACGGTCAACCATTACATTGAGTTATGTGATCCAAATGGAGAACATATTGAAGTCATGCCAGAAACACACCCTCCGCCTGAACCTCAATCTGAGCACGAAATTGTTGAAATGTATGAACAAGAAGAAGACTCTGAACAGGAGGAAGAAGAAGAATGGATAGATAATAATGAAGATACAGAAGAAGAAATTTACTATGAAGAAAATAGTGATTCTGATAGCGATTAATTGTATTGTTAATTTGTGTAACCAATGTAATCACTTTCAATTAAATTGTTTTAGTTTGAATTTTTTTACTTTTCTTTTTTCATCATTTAAATAATTATTACATATTACTCCCTCCGATTCTGAAAGATCTTTACACTTTCCATTTTTATCAGTACCACAATTATCTTTACATGTCCTTATTTGCCTTATTTGGCAAATAAATTTACACAAAACACTGTCAAACAGTGCCAAACAGTGTACTCTACAGTAAAGTCAAATTTATTTCATTAAAAACTGTGAAGTCAAAGTGTCAAGATCTTTTGGAACCGGAGGGAGTATACTCTAGTCAAGATAAACTGAATTACATTAAAAATTCAATATTTAATACTTCGGATACAATATGATAATGTAAACTAGCGATTAATTAATTAATAAAATTGTGGACGAAATTATGTTAAAATAATTTCGCAACAAAGATTTTTTTTAATTCGGAAATTGAAAATTAATTTAATAATTCGTAAATTGAAAATTAAATAAATTTTAATAATTTGATTATAAATTATTAATAAACAAGTAACATTATTGATAAACAAGCAAACGCAAATTTATTCATCATTTAACAAGTAACATTATTGATAAACAAACAAACACAAATTCATTCATCAACGTCAAATCTTTCATCAAGAGGCATAATGAGCAGCTCGTTAATTGTCTCTTCAGCTTCTGCGTTTATTGGTGCCATATAATCTGAACATTCTTGCAGACGAATAAGATGCCTACAAAAGTTTTTTCCTCTTGAAACGTTGTATGAGTCTGATTCAAAGTCTACAATGTTGCCAAAGCTTTCAAGAGGTGTATGCATCAGCTCACGGATTGTTTGAACTGCTTCTTCATTTACGGGCCTCATCAAGTGTGTAATTAGTTTCAGTCATTGTAGACTTCTACACAAAAACGTCCAGTCAATTGGTTCTGGATTAGTCATTTTGTGTTGCATTATATTTATAAATGGGGCGGGCAACACATATTTATAGATTTTGTAGTTACGGATTTGTCACGGATTTAGTCGTGACAAAATGGAATTGATTTCAGACCTACTGACAAACCGACGAACTGCCCAAGACCGACGGACTCCCCAAGAAACTGACACGGCGGCTTGTCACAGAAATATCCGTGACAAATCCGTGACAAACCCCTAAACCGGCGACTTTCATGTCCTTTTGTCTATTGATTCTTACTGTATAAATTTGAAGGGAGTATTTATTTAAAACTTTAAAACAATAGATTGAGTTAATTAAAAAAAGAATCCTTATTTACCCTATTAGGTAGTTTGCGTAGTTATAAAAAAATGTCACGGATTTGTCACGGATATTTCCATCACAAACACGGTCAAGATTCCGACTGACGCCTCGACTGCAGCTCCTAATGCCTCGACTGCAGCTCCTGACGCCTCGACATCCGATGGGCTTTGTCACGGAAAAAATCGTGACAAATCCGTGACGAATTTAAAAATTTGAATTTGTCACGGCTTTGTCACGGATTTTTCCGTGACAAAGTCTTAATATAAAAACTACCCTTAGCGATTTTTTTTTTCATTCCCACGCTTCCAAACCTTAATTTCTCTTCTCTCGGCCAACTCTTCCTCTCTCTCAAAATTTTTCTTCCCCCCACGCCGCTCCTCGCCGCCTTCTTCACAGTTCTTCATCGTTCATCACCCTTTCTCAAGGTCACGTTTCCCATTCTTTTATTTTTTTAATTTGTATGTTTATTAATATTTGATTAAAAATATTTTTATAAGTCAAATAATGCATGTTTTTCATTATTATTTTTCAACACGATTAATACGCCGTATTTGATTAATATACATTTATTTGTTATTCAAAAAAAAATTGTATGCATGTTGATTATTAAAATGATTATTAATATACTTGGTTATGATATTCATGTTGATTATTAAAATGCATGTTCTTGGTCATGTTTAGCTCTTGTTTATTTGTTTAAATGTTTATATACTCAAATGCATGTTTATATAGTTAAATGCATGTTTAGATACTCAAATGATTGTAAATGTTTTTAAATGTTGTTGATTATATATTTTTATACTCGAATGCATGTTTAAATATTTATTGTTTTATTATATGCTTATAACTTTATATTGATTCAATATGTTTATATGTTGACATGAGTATGTACTCAAATGCATGTTTGTATACTCAAATCATTTTAAGTGTATTAAAATGTTGTTGTTATATTTTTATATATACAAATGCATGCTCGTTTTCGGATATTTAAAACATTTTCGGATATTTTCGGACATTTATTTGGATTACTATTTTAGACATTACATTTTCGGACATTTTTGGACATTTATTAGTTCGTCCCACTCATATATGTTAAACTTGCAAAAAGTTTAACATGTTTAATTTTTTTAAAAATCATATTTAAAAATAAATTGTATAAGTTTTTTTGGAACTTATAATAAACACAAACTGTTTTTATAAATTAATAAAACTAACACAAAAAGTTAACAAACTGTTTTGATAAATTAATTTACAAAACTAAATTTTTCAGAAACTGTATATTTAATTTAACGTTTTTCAAAATTATTAAATTGTTTAATTAATACAACTTTTATTTACAACAAATATAAAAAGTTAATATAACAACTTAATAAACTGTTTTTTATAAAATGTACACTACATTGATAAACACTAATAGAAAAATAATAATAATTAAACACACAAAAAAGTTTACAAAAAATATATCCCCTCATGTTAAACTTGCAAAAAAGTCTAACATGATTAATACCAAAAAAAAAATCATTGTTTTTTATTATATAAAATATATAAAGAATCTACAAAACTGTTTTTCGAAATCAAATGTTTACAAAAATATAGCCCCTCATGTTACAATTGCAAAAAAGTTGAACATGTTTAATACAAAAAATACTCAACTTTTTATAAAAAAATTACAAAAACTGTTTTTTTTAATAATATAATAGGAACATTAATACGAAAATTAATAAACTGTTTTCCGTAAAATAAACACAAAATACTTAGTCTCTAAGAGCATCACCAATGGGTATGTGTTAACATTAATAAAGATGGCCGATTCATCAATGTTAACAATGTAATTGAAATTTACGTCTCCAATGGAACATATCTGGACTTATGTAATGGTGATGTGTCAAAAAATTTTGTGAACGGTGTTAACATGAATGTTTACAAATAACAGCGTACTTGACATTGCTGACTCAACAAATTTGGTTGGAGAAAAATCTGGGAAATTCTGCCGCACATGCCAAATTCTACACTCCAAACCAACGCCACTAGCCCACGACATATACTTGCAGCAAGGAGTGGGTTTCTTTCACAACTTGAAGCCGAAGTTGAAGCTGAATTCGGATAGGTTACGTTTCACGTGCACCAATAATTTTTCTGCTGATTTTTATTTATTTTAAAACAAAAAGACTTGGTACACGTAAACATCATTATGGGCCGTGAACATTATGCATTGGAGAATAATTTTGGATTCGACGGTTTATTTATATCACTTATATATGACATTGAAGACTATTCCATTTATTGATTGCCATGTGTCCAGATTTGTTCTATGTTAACAATGTACCATTAAAGATGCTCTAACAAACTGATTTCACTGTTTTCGAAATTAATAAACTGTCATCAAAATTAATTTACAACAAACTATTTTATTAAACCATAAATAATAAACTGTTTTATCCAAAAAATTAATAAGCTGTTTTCCGTAATGTATTGTTTCATCAAACACAAAAATTTAAAAACTCTTTTTTACAAAAAAAAAAATAATATATAGTTTTTATAAGAACGCCTCTTTTGAATATGTTGTGCAATTAAAACAAAAATGTATTGTTTCCAAGTTTCAGAAAATTAATTTAAAAAAATTCGACCCCCTCATATTAAACTCATACACAGTTTAATATGTTATATTATTTCCAAAGATAAACTGTTTTAGTTAAACTTGTAAATGATAAAATGTTCTACTATTATAATCCTTATAATATCTCAAAATATACCTAAATCTTTATAGATGAGTGAACATGAGCGTCGCCGTTCCACCTCTTCCCGTCGTGGCGCCTCCAACTCACGGCGCGTAAATTGACGTCAATGCTGACGCCAATGACAATGAGTGACATGTGCAAACACCTCCGTCCCAACACTCTGATGCACACCTCGCATGCCGAACCAGCAACCTCCCGTGGAAGTTCATCTCGCCCAGTATATGCCCCCCAACTGAAGCCGAGCGCAACAATACCAATGCGCTTTGGGTGACACCACTATCGGTTCATAGGTAATTAATTACTAATTCTCTCTGATTAGAAAGAACGGAATTCATATTTCTGTAACTTATCATAAATATTTTTATCAATTATGAATTTTTTAAGCGATAATGCAGTGTTGCAAAGAATCAAAACTATAGTTGCCGATCATTACACAGGACCTTGGTCAACCACTCCAAAGGGGCAAACTCATCTTCTCATCAAGTGAACGATGAACGGGATGAACGGATTGTCCGCCTTGAGCAACAATTGGCGCAACAAGCGGCGGAACGGGCAGAAGAGGAACGGAGAATTAGAGAACGGATGGCTGAGTTTGAATGTTTCAACGCCACCTATCGCCCTACCATGCACATTCAGCAACCCGAGATGACCCCTCAAATTCCCTTCATGGGTGGCATGGGCGGCATGGGCAGCATGGGTGGCATGGGGTACGACAATTATAGCCATCTGTCCAATAATTTTCCGTATTCTTATTATAATCAACCGTTTCAAACTCCCGGAGGTCGCGGCAGTCGAGGGGGAAGCCGAACGGCTAGCCGAGGAGGTGCTCGTGGCGGCAGGGAACCCGAACAGTCCTGACACCTTGGCGATGATGACAATGATGATGACAATGATGATGATGTCATCATGGAGTTGTACTAATTAGTTTATTTGAATTTTGAAATTGAAAATTTATTAAATATTATTGTTGTTTTATGAATTTCTAATGATTAATGTTTAATCTCGAGTTGTTATAAATGTTAAATCATTATGTGTGTTTAATCATTATGTGATTGTATGAATTGTTTTGTAGTATTTAATTATTATAAAAATTTAATTATTATAAAAAATTTAAACGAAGTTTTTAAATTTGAACTTTATAAAAAATTCGCAGAATTTTTTTCTTAAATATAAAATGTTTGTCACGGACTCTGGCCGTGACAAATTTTCAACTTTTTAAATTTTTTTTAAAATTATTCTAATTATTCCCGTAACAATTTTTTTTAAAATAAAAACTTTTTGTCACGGATTAATCCGTGACAAAATGAAAATATTTGAAATTCAAAAATTTCAAGTTACCCGTCTAACCCATTTCGGATATTTCAAAAAAAATCAAAAATATATTTGTCACGGATAATTCCGTGACAAAATTAAAATATTTGAATTCAAAATATTTGAAGTTACCCGCGTAGCCCATTTCGGATATTTCAAATAAATTCAAAAAAACATTTGTCACGGATAAATCCATGACAAAATGAAATATTTTAAAAAATCGAACAAAGTTTGTCACGGGCGAATCCGTGACAAATAAACATCGGCGTTGCTCCGGTACCTTATTTTGTCACGGATGGCAGACGTGACAAAATCTGTGACAAGCTGAAGTTTTTTTGTAGTGATACTTCTATGAAAATATTTTGAATAAGTAACATTTTGATATAATTTTCATATTCAAAATAATTTCGTATTAAAAAATACGATAGGTCAAAGTTGATTGTCATTACCAACAAAAATCAATTTGGCGAACCTTTTCAGAATGAAGGGAGTATATTATCATTTACGATCAATTTTAAGTAAATACTTAAAATTTGTTTCACAATCTCATTCTTTTTCTTGCCTTGCCATTCACTTTCAAACGTATACTTTGGAAAATTATTAAAAGAATCATGCCACGTAAGACGCAGGTGGTAATTAGGGCTGTGTCCGAAAAACCGAAAACCGAAAACCGAATCAAATCACACCGAACCGTAGCCAAATAAAACCGAACCGCTAACAAACCGAAACCGAAGGTAAAAAACCGAACCGAACCGTAGTTGTTTGGTTCGGTTTTGGTTTTTACCCTTCAAAACCGAACCGAACCAAACAAACTGTCACGCCCCTCTCAGGGTTAAAGGGAACGCTACATAAACTTACTACTATAAAAAAAACTGCAATGTAACGGTCGTTTGTTTAAGAAATAACCCTGATAAAAATCTCAAATATAACAAAATTATAGTTCTAAATAAAAACTCAAAAAAAAAAATCTAGTTATCACCAGCAAATGTGATAACCACCTGAATCCAGGAATTTATTCAGACTTCAATCCTCAAATAGAATAAAGTAATAATAATCTTTTATTCTAACAACTGAAATACTGGAGTAAAATAAAAACTAGCTAGAAGCCGCCAAGGTCGTTCCCGTTAACTCATCTTGGCACGCGTTCCACTCCCTCATCATCTTCCTAGGCCTTGGCCTTACCCTTAGTATCTGTACATGCGAAGAAAAAAAACTGATAAGCTTTACGCTTAGTAAGTCACTATGGATCCACAAAATATTTGAGAAGTCTATGCTAATTTATCAATAGATAAATTTAGGCTATAAGCATGCACTAAACAAACAACTAACAAGTAGCTTCTCAAATAAATTCGGAGAGAAATCCCAAAGAAAATATTTTCTAAAATAATTTCTCAAAACTACTAGAGAGATCTCAAAATTTTTCTCTCAAAACATTTATGTAAAATTTTCTGAAAGAGCTCAAAAACAACTTTCCGTAAAACTTTTTGAAAGGGATCTCATAACTATCTGTAAAACTCTTTGTGGCTAATTTTAACTGTGGGCCCGTGATATGTACTCAAAGGCGCCAATCCGACAGCTCAGGGGAGCGACCCACTAAACATATCGGACTCTCTGAAACTGATAAACTGATAATCTGAGGGAACTTGTTCCCGAGTACATATCACCTGATCTTTCACTTTAAATATTAGTTCTTTTTTTTTATAGTGACGTTTGGGTAAAAACATCATTAAAATCTTGAAATAAGGTACTGACATAATCTTGACTATGCCAGATAATAAACATAACTTAATACAACAATTGAAATAACTCAACAAATAATTCACCAAGCTCACATAATAGCAAATAGTCTAAAATCATCTACTAAAAATCAACCAGACTTCTTTCTTTCATTTGGTTGAACAAACATGTACAGGTGGTAGTGAACTTACCTGAATAAGCTGAACTCAAACTACTCAAACAAGTGTGGCACCTTGATAACGTCTTCCGGTAAGCTCTTCTCTTAAATCTTTAGTTAAATTTAACGATATAATTAGAGTTGGTTACATCTTAAATTAAAGAGGACAATCAAAACCTATGACTTGAATTGTCTTGTTGACACAGAAAACTAAGAAAAACACCATCTTAAACTTGAAGAGTTTTTGCGCCGCAGCTCACAAAAAAAAGTTAATGACTTAAACAATTTGACAAACCCATGCTGGAACACCCAAATTTATCACTTACAAAACAGCCACTAAAAAAAATATTAAAATAGAATTTAGCTGCTATAAAATTGACATTAGATTTGACTGAAAGATATACTACAAAATTTGAAGTAGACCCAATCAGCATAAAAAAATGTGATCACTCCAATGAAACCCAATTTCTTTTATTTAATGAACAAAACCTATGTACTGAACACGAGACTAATGCTTAATTATGGAAACAACATCCACATGATAAAAAAATCAAAAGGATCCATATGAGTGCTTTGTTTTCTTAAATTTAATTTCAAAAAAAAAATTCAACGACTGACATAACCCTCCCTGGTGGACAGAATCAATAAACACTTGAGCATATTGAAATTGTCTAAACTGTCAACTTGTATAGCAAGAAGTCCAAAAATTGCTACAGTTTACTCACTCAATAGTTTTGGGTGAAAACGGTTCTGCCTACACCCCTTCTCTAACCAATACACTAAATAAACAACCTAAGTTTTAAGTATTTTTCAAAGATAAAAGAAACTACATGATGGAACGAGACTTGTAACATATCAGGTTTCAGATTTGCTCCAAAACTAAGAAGAAACCTTGGATTGTAAATTGAAAGTGAAGAAACCCTTTCTGGAGAGGAGAGACGGCTGCCGAGGGAGGATAGAAACGCAGGTCTGACCGCTTCTTTGGTTTTAAAATTACGTATGACCACTTCTTAGGGATTTCACTCTTAAACATATTTGTCTGGGCTTAGTTAACTGAATTGGGCTAACATAACTAATTTGGCTCTCTTAGTCCTCTAAGAAAATACTTATGACTCAACTGAAAAATAATATTTTCCCCTTCAGCAATATACTAAATAGATAATTAAAAAAATATTTCTTCGATTAAAATTATTATGAGCTTACTGGTCCACGTTACCTGCCAAAAATATGTCAAATAATAAATATCACATTATTCATAACAAAAAAAACTTATTTAGCTGACTAAAATAATAATAACTAATTATTAAATAATTAGCTCATAAAAAAAAACCGGGGTGTTACAACCCCTCCCACCTTATAAAAGTTTCGTCCTCGAAACTTAGAACAACTCAGGATAACGACGTCTCATGTCATCCTCAACCTCCCAAGTAGCTTCTTCAACTTTCTGATTTCGCCACAGCACTTTTACTAGAGCTATCTCTTTGTTCCGAAGACGTCTAACCTCATGATCAAGAATTTGTACTGGCTTCTCCTCGTAAGATAAATCATTTTGCACTTCTACTGTGGGGGATATCAAAACATGCTCCGGGTCAGCAAAGTATTTTCTCAACATCGAAACATGGAAGACATTATGAATGCCAGAAAACTCCTCAGGTAGCGCGAGCTCATAAGCTACCTTCCCAACTCGTCTAGTGATCTCATATGGTCCGGTGAATCTAGGGCTAAGCTTTCCTTTCTTCCCAAATCGCATCACGCCCTTCATCGGGGCTATCTTGACAAAAACAAAATCGCCCACTTCGAATTCTAGAGGTCTCCTTCGAACATCTGCATAACTTTTCTGTCTGCACTGGGCAGATTCTATCCTTTGTCTGATAGTCTTAATAGCTTCTGAGGTCTCATCTATCAACTCAGTCCTTCCTTGTAATTCTTCTTCTAGAACCTTCTTTTCTCCCGTTTCATACCATGATATGGGGGATCTACACCTCCTCCCATACAACGCCTCATATGGAGCCATGCCGATAGTTGCTTGATAACTATTATTATAAGCAAACTCTGCCAAACTAAGGTATTTTTCCCATCCTCCTTGAAAATCTATAGCGCATGCCCGTAACATATCCTCTAAAATCTGATTTGTCCTCTCCGTCTGGCCATCTGTCTGAGGATGAAAAGCAGTACTAAACTTCAACTTCGTGCCCAATGATTGTTGTACACACTTCCAAAAGTGAGACGTAAATCTAGAATCTCTGTCTGAAATAATACTCTTCGGAACACCATGCAATCTAACAATCTCCTGAATATATATTTTGCCAACTTCTCCAAAGAAATACTTGCTGAAATTGGGATAAAATGAGCAGATTTAGTCAATCTGTCCACTATAACCCATATAGCGTCATAACCTCCAGTTGTCTTCGGCAAACCCATAATAAAATCCATTGATATCTCATCCCATTTCCACTCTGGAATCTGGATAGGCTGAAGTTCTCCACCTGGTCTTTGATGTTCAGCCTTAACTTGTTGACACGTCAAACATGCCTGAACGAACATTGCAACATCTTTCTTCATCCCTGACCACCAAAAGTTTTTCTTCAAGTCGTGGTACATCTTGGTCGAACCAGGATGCATAGTGAATGGTGTCTCATGAGCCTCCTTCAAAATCTGCTTCCTCAACCCTTCAATGTCT